TAGAGTACTTTTATGATTCTTTTTTTTTTTTTTTTTTAACTTGACAGCTCCAGTTTTCATTCACTTTCACTATATTGAAGAGTGGCTAGGATATTCTTAAAAATTCCCTTTTTGTCATCCAGAAAGAACATCATATAGTTTTGGATCAACTTGACTGTGAATAACTGGACTGAAATTACATTTTTGGGTGAACTATTCTTTTAAATCACTGTAAAAAAAAATAAATAAAAAAAAAGATTCAGATGAGCCTCTCTTCATGTCCAGATGACTCTGTAAGGCTAGCAGGAGAAATATTTGGAGGAATATTGCTGATCTTAAATATTTCTGTATGAACATTAAGAGTAATTCACAGGTAATTAGCACTTAAAGAGCCCATTATGCTGGCTAAATTATAAAATGTGTTTCAATTTTAATTATTAATTTACATTTAATCATTTAGTGAAAGTGAAAGTGACATGACATGTGGCCAAGTATGGTGACGCATACTTGGAATTAGTGCTCTGCATTTAACCCATCCAAAGTGCACACACACAGCAGTGAACACACACACACCGTGAACACACACCCGGAGCAGTGGGCAGCCATTTATGCTGCGGCGCCCGGGGAGCAGTTGGGGGTTCGGTGCCTTGCTCAAGGGCACCTCAGTTGTGGTATTGAAAGTGGGAGAGAGCGCTGTACATTCACTCCCCCCACCTACAATCCCTGCCGGTACAAGATTCGAACCCGCAACCTTTGGGTTACGAGTCCGACTCTCTAACCATTAGGCCACGACTTCCCCGTAGATGCATCTTAGATGGATAAAAGCATCTTTAGCAGATGCTTTTATCCAAAATGACTTATAAATGACAACAATAGAAGCAATTTATTCAAAAAAAGTCCAACAGTATGTAAGTGCTGTGACATATTCCAGTTAGTCTAAAACAGTACATGTAGCAAGTCTTTTTAATGATAAAAAGAAAATATAGATAGCATAGAAAGTGCTATTAATGGGTCAAATGTTGACAAAAATCTATGATGTATCTATGTTTTAGCAAAGAATAAATAAAAATAAATATAGTACATGTGTGTCTCTGATATTTCACATTTCAAACTCTCACTCAGTCTCCCACTCTTCATTTCTCTCTCTCTGCCTCAAGCTCCTTCATTTCTCACCCTCTATCTCAGTATCTGCATTGTCTTCTGAAGAGACATAATCAGATCTGAACCCACTTTATGACATTTGCTTGGCTTTCTGTGACCTACATTCAGACACGGTGATGAGAATGTGGGTTAGATCACCACAGCACACAGTCAAGACCACGACAACACTAGTGTGACTCTACAACCATACAACTGTTTGTCTGTCCGTCCATCTGTCTGGTCAAGATAGCAGTCACCTAAAAACCAGGACAACTTAGCAACTGTAAAGTAATGCCCTGTCAACCACCCACAACAGCCAGCATGCAAGAGTTTACAGAACAAGCATCACTACAATTTCTTCAGAAAATGTACAAATCCGGTTATTATTGCAGTTAAAACGGTTAATAGTATTGTAGAGATGTGGGGGGAATATGAAAACATTGAAACTTCCCAGAGTTTCCAAAAAAAAAATATATATATTTTCTGTGAGTTCTTTTGAAACCAAAACGATAGCCCTCTTCCCAGTGAAAGCGTTCAGATCTCCATGGGATTCCCTCCTAGTCTATTAGTCTGTAGTCCTGCAGTCTGCCCACAGAGCTTGGCAGCGGCCCAGCGCCGCTCAATAGCAGCTCTTCAAGGGTTTTTAAAGACGGCTTGTTCATCAGCGGCGTCCCGCTGTATCAGGAGCAGTAAAGACCAGAGCACAGATGAGAACAAACCCCACACCACTGTGGCTGATGAGATACTGACGCAGTTCAACGTGAGAACATGACCGAAGAGCTCACATCAGCTACTGAAGGTTATCGTATAGCTCAAACAGCAAGCAAGCTTGCAGAAATTTACAGCTGTAATGTTTTAACTGTTTGGATGTTCTCAGCTTATTTTAATATGCAGAAATGACACCTCCAAAGATCCTTTGTAGGATATGCATATTTTTTTTATTAAAACAAGATCAGTCAGTCAATCTATAACCATTATCAGAATCCCTTGTCAAAAATACTAAAATAATGTCCATTTTAATTTGAAACCAAACCTATGATCAAATATTCTATAGAGCCAACTGAATAAACTGCAATGTAAATTTCAATAGTTTTATTCAGCTCAGTCTTGGTGCCTGTGGGAAATTTTTGCTAAATAATAGCTGATTACGTTTATTTTTGCACATTTCACGGCACTTTCAAAAGTGAAATATCTAGTGAGTGGCTTCCTCCAAAACAGATGAAACATTACCAGTAATTTAATAATATTTTAATACTAATGTAATAATAAATTAATAATAACTGAGGGATTATTCTTAATTTTTCTGTAATTTAATTACAATTCGACGTAATTGAAGTAATACTCTATAAGAAGTATAGACTAGTATACTGAATAAAAATATAGAAATTAACATCAAAATTTAACATCTAATGTTAAAAATGTATGTTTTTAACGTAACCTTAATTGCCCCTTTCAAAACTTTGATCCGTTCAAGAATAATTTATGCAATTTTTTGTTGTTTATTTGAAAGAATTAAAAGACCAGTTTGTCTGTCCTTGTATTGTTCAACTGGTCGAGGTTGATATAGACCTAATGTAGCTCTGCCCCTTTTCAGCACTGCACTCGTTGTCTTCTATCTTCTGTTTGTATTTCTAGAGCGTAAAGGTAAAATTGAAGTAAAGGACGAATTTATGAATGAACCGCTCGTTTTAAAATCTTCCTAGTCTAGTGGCATTGTTGTAACGTCTGCTTCAAATATTACAATTCTCATGATTTGTTACTCTATAACAAGTAAATTCATTCATTCACTTTATTTATAGAGCACTTTACAACTGCACCTGCAGACCAAAGTGCTGTCCAATCAAAAAAAAAAAAAACACTTCCTTAAAACACTTCCTTAAAACAACACAGATCCTACTAACAACAAAGACTAGCCCACCCTCTCAAAGGTTAAAGACAAGAAGTAGTTTTTGACTTCAACTTTAAAAACATTCAAAGATGAGACTTCTCTAAGTTCCTGAGGAAGACTATTCCAGAGCTTCGGCCCCGCAACAGCAAAGGCCTGATCCCCTTTTAACTTTAAATGAGTACGAGGGACAGTAAGCAATAACTTATTATTGGATCTTAGAGACCTAGGTGCTTGATGAACAGCAACGAGCTCAGTCACGTAAGCAGGGGCCAACCCATGCACTGCTTTAAAAGCATACAGAAGAGTTTTATATTTTATCCTGTAGTTCACTGGTAGCCACTTGAGAGAAGCTAAAATAGGAGAGATATGATGACTTTTCTTAGCACCCACTAGCAGCCTAGCTGCTGCATTCTGAACTAATTGCAAGCGTGAGATAGTGGTCTGACAGGACTCCACATACAACACATTGCAATAATCCAAACGAGACCAATATCAACAGCTCATCTGGGCCCACAGAACGAGAAGGAGACTCAATCATATTCACAAATGAAGAGGAATTATATACCTCAGAAAATTATACCGCCGTGGATGAAGTAATAAGACGAGAACAAAACACACCTGACTGTGGCAAAACTGGTTTGCATGGCATAACAACATTAAAAATTACAGGCATGTGATCAGACAGACCATCATTTTAAACATCGACATTACAAATAGGAAGGCCCAGAGATAAGATCAAGTCCAAAATATGGCCTTGCTCATGGGTTGGATTTGAAATAAACTATGTGAAATTAAAAGAGTCCACCAGCTGTAAAAACTCAGAGACCATAGGCTTATTTGGACAACACACGTGAATATTGAAATCCCCAATAATTAAAATGTTATCACAACTTGGTACAATATGTGATAAAAACTCTGAAAACTGCTGAATGAAATCCTTGTTATATTTCGGTGGTCTGTAGACCAACACACACAGAGCCTCAAAGCTCTGATAGTTCACCTTTGACAAAAGACGGCATTTAAGTGGTTAAATCCACTTCACCAGCTAATTGCTCTTTAACAGTTATGCCATACTCTTACGAAATTTAACCATGGTTTTAATCGAGCGCAGCGTTAGTTCAGTCAGGCCACGTAGGCATAGGCTGCGACCAGCTGACTCGGTCAGCTGTCAAATCGCTCCAATCACTACCATTCTCCTATTAGACACGGGACATATATTGGGCATTACTGGACACGGGGCATTACTGCTTGGTAAGTATGCTCAAACTGCTCGCAAGCTTGGCGATACAGCTATTAACAGCATGAAAATTATGTTTACATTATTTCTTTCACATCTTACCTGCTGCTTCCTGGTCATGGATACTTCGGACATCCTAGGACAAATCCTATCCGAAGAGTCTCCGGATGAGATCCTGGATCATTACACTGAAGACGTCGATCCAACCCAGCTAGTGAGACACAGCTCTAGGATAGCAGCAAGGAATCCTTTCTCCATCAATGAATGGCCCAAAGAAAGGATCTTGTCCACCTTGTACTCTCTCAATGTACAAGTGCCTATGGATCTGAATCATGATCAGCTCTTGACTCTTTTACAAGAAGTCAATCAAGACCCACAGCCCTCATCTACCAACGCAGTATCTTCTCTTCCCCGATCTACCGGCCGTAAAGCCTCGGAGAAAAGAAAAAATATCTCCACCGATCAAGCGTCTCCAACTCCAAAGAAGGTAAAATCATCACATCCCTCTCAAGCTCCAGCACAACAGGGAGACGACAGGGTTCTCTCAGCGCTGCTGTCAATTCAAGGAACCCTCTCCGACATGGACAACAGGATCCAGGCGCTGGAATCGCAGCTCGACATCAAACTGCGCCCTTACTCCCGAATTGGCTCTTCCTAGAAGATCTCTCGGATCAGCGTTACCTGCCGCTTCCACCGGGGTGCCCTTCTTCCCCCCAGCAGCTGCCATTTCTCCCCAACTACGCGCTCAAATCCTGTCAGGTAACGATATAAACTTGGTTAAAATATTGCTGTAACAAAGTTCGTAGTCACGGGAAGAAGGAGGCGGGAACCGGCGAACATTTCAAACTTTAATAAAATAACCAAACACAAAACGAAGATCTCGCCATGTCTTACGGAGGCACACTATTCTACGAATACCAGAAATCATTTTCATCTAAAGCAGCAATGTACATACAACGCTTTAATCAGTGACTGGACTGGTCCATTGTCGATCTTGCATTAATCAGCTGACAGTTTACGGGCCACCGAGCACTGTCATGCTCACTCTGCGGTTCGTTTTCCCACACCGCATCTCTGTGCCCTAAGACCGCTTCAACTCACGACACTAGCGCTTCGGCGCCAGAACAGGTGAAGCCTGAAAGAAAAACCCCTCTTTGCTACAATTTCAACGAGAATGTTTGTACTCGAAATAATTGTAAAATATTTTCATGCTTGCAGCTATTGCGGGAAAAGTCACCCGAAGTTTTCTTGTCCACACCGCACAAAATTTCTAAAAAAGAAATAAACACTCCGGTGAACACCAAGGAGCTATCTAAAGCTCTGGAAAAGCATCCAAATCGCTGTTTCGTGTCTTACCTCATTCTAGGGCTCACGCATGGGTTTCTAGCTGGTCTTTCCTATCTGCCCACTTTCTCTTTCACCTGTCAAAACCTTCAGTCGGCTATCAAAGTTCCACAGGCCGTAGATGATCTGATGGGGAAAGAAATAGAGAAGGGGTACATGATCGGACCTTTCAATCAACCTCCCTTCAAACTTTAACCGCATTAACCCTTTAGGAGTTGCAGTTAGGAAATATTCAGGGAAAAAACGTCTAATTATTGATTTATCCGCTCCCCACTCCACCCTAGGGGTTCCAAGCATTAACAGTTTAATTCCCTCAGAACCTTTTTCCCTGGCTTATTCCACAGTGGACAACGCAATAGAACTTAAGGAACTGGGTCCCTCTATCCAATCGACAGCACTTATGGAACTATATCCTATAGTGATTGCTTGCTTATTATGGGCAGACCAATGGACTAGGAAAAACATCCTCGTTTTCTGTGATAACGAAGCCACAGTGAACATTATTAACAAGGGTCGCTCCTCCGTGCCTTTCATTAACCGTCTTATCAGGCGTCTAACCTGGATCTCAGTTATGAACAATTTTACAATTAAAGCTACTACATACCTGGGCTGGATAATAAAATAGCTGACTCTCTGTCTCGGTTTAATTTCCAGGAATTCAGACGCCTGTGTCCGGGAGCTGCTGCATCACGACTGGGCTGCCCGGACTTCAGTCAAACAGTCCTAGACTGAACGCAACATTGCAAAAATACCTTAAATCAGCCGCACACTACATGAGATCAGGGCTAGCTAAAACGACACTTAAAACTTACGACTCGGCGTGGTCGTCTTTTTCAGATTTCTGCAACGCTTTCTCGGTGCCTAAACTCCCAGCTAACATACCTATTATATGTGCTTTCATTACGCACTGCTTCGAATCCAGAAAGCTTAAGCCTTCCACCATCAAGATTATGATCTCAGGCATTCAATTCCACATTAGATGTTTAGATCCTTCCTCTCAAAGCCTGTTACAAAATCCCTCCATAGGCCTTCTCCTTAACGGGTTAAAAAAGGAAAGCCCAGCATTTCCAGATAAACGACTACCACTGTCTCTCTCACAGGTGCACACAATGGTGGATAAATTAAGATCAGGTCTTTTCACTCCGCACACAAACTTGCTTCTAGAAGCAGCGTTCCTCACCGCCTATTATGGATTCCTCAGAGGAGGAGAATTCACAGTTAACACCAAAATATTCGACCCTTCACACGACCTCACAATCAAAGACATATCATTTCACACAGATTACTTTTCCATCTATCTGAAACATTCCAAAACAGACAGAGATAATAACGGAAGTACTATCAACATTTCTAGAACCAACAACGGATACTGTCCCCTCACAGCCATGAACCAGCTGGTAAGCTCACGCAGTAAATCCAATCCTACAGATCCACTTTTCATCACAGAGGAAGGAGAAGCTATGTCCAAGCATTGGTTTGCCTCACGTCTCCGTGCCGCATGCCTCCATTGTGCGTAATACTAGCGCAAAAAGCCTTGAGCAGCTCTTCCATATAATAAAATAAATAAATAAATAAAAAAATCCTCTGCATCTCGTAGTATCTCGATACCATAAGGGGCACGCTGCTCTCCTACCCCTCATGCCAATCTCAGGGACATGCTGCTTTGTTCTTGTGGTTCTCCCGCTGGAGAGAACACCACTGCTGCTTATTCGGGGCC